TGAGATTTGAACCGCTGACCTGCTGATCTAGCAGTAGCCTGCAGTGCTGCATTTAACCACTGCGCCACCTTGGCTCTTTCAGTGCCGTTGTAACTTGGAACGGTCCCTAAATGAATTGTTGTTAAGCGGAGGGTGACCTGGGGAAGTTTACTTACAGAATACAGGATAATGGAGTCGGGAGGGACCTTGGAGGTCTTCTAGTCTGACCCCCCGCTTTAGAAATGTACGATTTACAGTAATGTAGTGTTTTCGGGGCCTATAAGGATAGCAGAAAAGTATCACCCCAACCACCCTCAATGCAACAATCCTCAACAAAGTTACAAACTGTTTAGAAGGAAAACAAGGAGAAATTGAAAAGTAAACAAAACCCTGCACCAGGGAAACTAGGACATTCGAACTCAGGGCGGGGCTACAAACTTTTGTCTAACTTTCAAGGGGCTGAGAAAAAATTCCCGTCCTGCCTTTTGTGATGGGTCAACCATGAGGTCCACAAAGATCTCCCCAGGCTGAAGCACCAGGCATATGGTGCGGGTGTGATTGTGTATGCTTGTGTGTCCTTTGGGTTACCTCTCCCCCCGCCCCGCCCCGATCCCGGCAAACGCCTCTATTTCAGGGGGAGGAATGGAATTTGTGAATGGGAAAGGGGCGGAGCTGCCGTTTCCATCCTGAATGGAAGTGGGCGGGGCCCAAGGCCCTCCTGTGGGAAGGTAATCCAACCAGAGGACAGAGGGAAGACTGGCAGAGTCGGCATCCAATAAAAAAGGGGGGGTTCAGAATTATGGGGAAAAGTAACTCCAAAGTGATGAATTCTTACTAATAGGGACGTGATAAGAGGGGAGAAGGACTTGGAACTGGGGCCATCTGATTGGAGGGCAGGATCTCCTCCAAAATAGTGGAGAGTTCAGGGGCTAAAGACAAAGCAGGGGGCCGTCTGGGGTGGGGGGGTGGCTGACCAGATGGAGAACTGTGTAATCCCTGCAGCCATATTTTCTTTTGGATCTTGGGCCTGCCACACTTTCTATTATTCTACTATGCATTTTCTATGGTGGGAAAATGGGAGTTAGATAATATGTAGCCATAACAACATTCTTTCTAGAAAACCAAGGTCATCCTTTGTCTCTACACCTCTGAACCTGACCGGAACTGGATGGGTGGAAGTTGCCAGTGTGGCAGTGGAAGATCGGACCATATGATGGACTTGTGAGTGTGGGGGAAAGATCTTGAACTTTCAACTGGGTGGGGAAAACCGGGAAGCCTTCAGATTCGGCTTTTCCCAGATGTGCCAACATGGATCTCTTAATCAATTGGAACTTTGAGGAAACTTTTGCCTTGGACTCTGATTTAATTTTGGATGCTATTTGGAACCCTGACAAACTGCTTGAAGGAACAGAAAAACTCCAGAGGCCAACAGAGATGACAGGCTCCAGACCACCTCTTATAAGGAATGGCTCCACCCTACACTCGATCCCTGTGTGAGACCCTGGGGGGAAATTACATCCCAGAGTTCTGAAGGAGCTGGCAGATGTGATCTCAGAACCATTGAACCATATCTTTCAAAGGTCTTGGAGCACTGGGGAAATTACCTGAGGACTGGAAAAGAACTGATGTGGTCCCCATCTTCAAAAAAAAAAGTGTGGGGGGGGAAGAGATCCAGGAAACTACAGACCAATCAGCCTGACATCAATATTTGGGAAGACCCTGGAAAAGATAATCAAGCAATCAATCTGTAAAAAGAAACAAGAAACGTTATAACCAGAAGTCAACATGGGTTCATCAAAAACAGATAATAACAGAACAATTATATGTATCGATTTGCCATTCACTACATTTCACTGTATGCACAGAAAAGTTGGAATTTGTCTCATTAAATCAAAAGAGTCGCACATCTTACAATGTAGAAATCTTAAAATTGCCAGTCCAATGAAATAATAACCAATACATGGGAAACTCAACATGCCAGTTTCCTACCTGTTTGGAAACTGGAGCGCAGGCACATTCCTAATCAAAAAATGGTGCCTTAACGTAGGTTTTAAAAAAGCAATGTTACTTTCGGTTTCTGCAGCGCACGCCCTTTGTTTACTTTACACCTGGCGCAAGTGGGTCTCGAACCTGCGAAGTCTCTGTCTGAAAAGTGCTGGTCGCTCCGCTCCGTTCCGAACAGTCGCTAGGTGTCGCTAAAGGCGGCATCTTTTGCAACCCTTTCTCCGTCCCTTCTAGAGGAGTGCCGAGGGCTCTAAGATTGACAGGCCGAGCCTCCAATAGACGGGGCAAAAAGGCGGGATCTGGGCGGAGTCTTATGCGTTCCCAAGGGACGAATCAGGGACGAGGTGCCCCCCCCCCCAGCGTTGCTGATAGGGCGGGTCTTCAAGCAGAGGGCGCGACGCTAACAGAACGAAAGGCGGGGCTTGGTAAAGGGGGCAGGCTCTATGCCTTTGAATGACGGGCGGCTAGGCATACCACCAACGGAAAAGGATGATCGACGTTGCTCGGAGCCATTGACAGCTCGGAAACGGTTGAACCAGATACCAATGGAGGGAAGAAGGCGGAGCCTCTCCTCAGAGGCGGCAGTTGAGGTTCGGCGGCGCGCAGGTGAGTTGTTGTATATTTTGGGGCGGGGGGTTTCTCCTCGTCTCGCGCCCCCTTCAGACGCCCCCCCCTTTTCCTCGGGCAGCCCCCCCGTTTCCCTCCCTCCGTTCCCTTCAATCGTGCCCGCCCGGAAGCTTTGCGGGGCGCTGCGGACTACACCTCCCATCATCCCCAGCCAGCCTCCTGTACTGGGGGTGGGGGGTGGGCTCGGATGCGGCGGTCGCAGACCCCCCCCCCCCCGAAGACGCCGGGTTGTCCCGGGAGGCGCCTTCCCGTCGAGCGTTTGTGGCTGGGGATGATGGGATGTGTAGTCCCACCTGCGCCCAGTCTTCCCCACGGGGTCCCTGGAGACGTCAGAGGGACCCCACGGGGGTGGGTGGGTGGTGGCTGATGGGAGCTGGTGGCCGACCCACCTGGGACTCTAGCTGTGTGTGGGGGGGATGATGGGCTGTGTAGTCCAGCTGCCCAGGCAGCCGGCCAGTCTGCATTTGCCCCCTCCTTAAACTAGCCCCCCCTCCTTATGAATCCCGTTACACACACACAACAACACAACACACCACACACACACCCTTAAAGGTAGAGCTGTTTGAATGAAGCCATTATTCGGGTTCACACAACAGGGCTTAACAAGGTTAAGGGTTAGGGTTAGGGTTAGGTTTAGGGTAGCCTAGCAAAGAGGAGTTAAAGCTCAAATGATAGAGGATATTAATTTTTTACTTTTAAGTTTACTTTAGATCAGTGTTTCTCAACCTTGGCCACTTGAAGATGTCCGGACTTCAACTCTCAGAATTCCCCAGCCAGCGAATGCTGGCTGGGGGATTCTGGGAGTTGAAGTCCGGACATCTTCAAGTGGCCAAGGTTGAGAAACACTGTCCTAACCACTGCTGGGGAATTCTGGGAGTTGAAGTCCTGACATCTTCAAGTGGCCAAGGTTGAGAAACACTGCTTTAGATGATGATGATGATACTAATTTTTTACTTTTAAGTTTACTTTAGATGATGATGATGATGATGATGATTATTATTATTTACATTAGAGGGATGTATTTTTTTATTGGTCTCCCATCCAAGTTGGCATAGTTTTACCAAGATCAGCCAAGGTGGACTGTTTATTAATATAACTTATTTACCTAAAAATGTGTATTTTCCACCATTGGAAATGTGACATGTTAAACTGAGAAAGAAAAAGAAAAAGCAATAAATTAATGGAAAACAATGTTTAATGGATTTCTCTCAAAAAGGAACACGATAAGATAATGCACAGTCAGCAAAGCTGGCTGAGGAACTCTGGGAGTTGAAGTCCACACATCTTAAAGTTGCCAAGGTTGGAGACCCCTGTTCTAATCCAACCCCCTGCTCAAGCTTCAAACCCTAAAACCCTTAAAAGCCTCCAGGGATGGAGCACCCACAACTTCTGGAGGCAAGGTGGAGACCTCATGAAGGTCCCCTTTTGCCTTGTCGCTAGAAACCCCTCCCCTTCTCCTGTCCCAAACCCAGGTGACTCGTTTTGTGAAGCTGGGAGGAGGGGAGCCTTTGATCCCGCCATGGCTAAGCGAACTGACTACGGCCTGCAAGTCGACTACGTTTTCCGCGGGGCGGAGCACATCGTTCGGATGACGACGGAAGGGAGCCTGCTGGAAGTGGAGGTGGAAGACCGGCTCACCACCGACCAGTGGCGAGGGGAATTCGATGCGGCCTGTGAGTCTCGGAGGAAGTTTGGGGGACAATGGTGGGGTGGGGTGGGGGGAGTCGGCAAAGCAGGTAGGATTGCAAACTTCCCATTCTTTTTATATATATATATAAAAAAGTGGTTTATTTTTTCATTTTCATACAAATAACCACATGTATCCTGTGACATAAACGCCACTATTTTGTATTATTAAATATTTGCATCAATTCGTCTAACCATCAACCCCCAAGAACTATGATTGGCTCTTCTGCTCTCTGTACACTATATTTATAGTCCATCACTTTCTTACCTCTACTCTCTCCTCCTCCCTTCCTCCTTTCTTCCCTCTGTCATCCTTCTCTACTTCCCCTTCCTCTCTCCTCTCTCCTCTTTCCACTCCTCCTTTCTCTTCTCCTCCTCCCTACCTCCTTTCTTCCCTCTGCCCTTCTCTTCTCTACATCCCCTTCCTCTCTCCTTCTCCTCTCTCCTCTTTCCACTCCTCCTTTCTCTCCTCCTCCTCCTCCCTTCCTCCTTTCTTCCCTCTATCGTCCTTCTCTACTTCCCCTTCCTCTCTCCTTCTCTCTCCTCTTTCCACTCCTCCTTTCTCTTCTCCTCCTCCCTACCTCCTTTTTTCCCTCTGCCCTTCTCTTCTCTACATCCCCTTCCTCTTTCCACTCCTCCTTTCTCTCCTCCTCCTCCCTACCTCCTTTCTTCCCTCTGTCGTCCTTCTCTACTTCCCCTTCTCTCCTTCTCTCTCTTTCCACTCCTCCTTTCTACCCCCACACCCTCTCTCCTAACACTCTCTTCTTCCCTTACCTCTCTCCTCTTCCACACTCTTCATCTCATTTACATGGTGTATTTCAGCCTCTGAGCAGGCTCTATTTTGTTGATGGTATTTGTAATTTCATTTCAATAAGCATCTTTAATTTTAACATATATCCTCCTTTAAAAAAAAAAGTATACACATATAGCAATTATATATATATATTTTTAAAAGCCCAACTTCTTTTTGGCCGAAATGTGGACCTGGTTACAGTTTTCAGCTATTCTCATCATAATATTGTATAGTTTTACATCATTACACCCCCCCCCCCAAATTTTTAGCTCTGTCTTTATAATCTCAATAATTTTCCATTATAAGTATGTTTCAAGTTCCCCCTTCATGTTCCCCATTTTTACTTAGCTTACATTGAATTGTTTTTAAAGAACAATCCTCACTGTTCAATGCTTATTACAATTCCATTGAATAACAAATTTCCCATTCTTGAAATGCATCCATCTCTGCAGAAACTCAGATCTCTCTCCCCCCCTCGTTTTTCCCCCCTCTCCCGCAGTTATCGAAGATCTCACCCACAAAACGGGGAACTTCAAGCAATTTGGGATCTTCTGCAGCATGTTGGAATCCGCCCTGGCCCAGGTGAGCCACGAATCGGCTTCCGGTCTGTGTGACCCCCCCCAATCGCTTCCACGTTCTGGGTCTAAATAGCAGAAGACTCTGCCTCGGCACAAAGATTTATCAAGGCAGGAGGTTGGCCAATCCTCAGTCCTCCTGCCTACCCCCCCCCCCATTCCTTATCCATCGGCAGTCCTCGACTTACGACCACAGTTGAGCCCAACGTTTCTGTGGCTATGTGAGACGTTGCTCAAGTGAACTTTGGCCCATTTAATGACCTTCCTTGTCGCAGTCATTAAGCGAATCGCTGCAGTTGATAAGTCAGTCACCCGGTTGTTAAGTGAATCTGGATTCCTCATTGACTAGCTGGCCAGAAGGTCACAGAAGGGGGTCACGTGACCCACACCCTCCCCGGGACGCTGGGTCCGTCATAAATGGGAATCAATGGCCAAGCATCTGAATTTGGATGCTTGCAATGATTGTAAGGTGTGAAAAATCATAAGTCACTCAATGAACTGTTGTAAGTCGAGAACTCCCTGTACAGGTTTAGTAACGCCTGGAGGATCCTTGGTGTTCTCTGAGCCTACTATTTTTTTTCTTTGCAGGCATTTCATAACCCAAAGTAGGTAACATCATCCATGCTACTGCTAGCATTGATGATGTTACCTAGTTGGGCCATGAAACGTCTCCAAGAAAGCCTCCGAGGTCAGAGGGCACCCAGGACCCCTCATTTCAACTCTGAGCAACAAAGATTCTCCTTTATTGGTTAGTCACGAGTCTTTGGGCTGTTTGTGTGAATGGGAACAACCTGGTGTTGTGTCTTTTTTTTCCCCTGCCCCCTTCAATAGAGCAGCGAGTCTGTAACGTTGGACCTCCTCACCTACGCGGACCTGGAGGCGCTGCGGAACAGGAAGATTGGGGTGGGACCACGACACCCCTCGGCCGCCAAAACCTCCCCCTTGAACTCCAAGCGTTACCTCATCCTCATTTACTCCGTGGAATTTGACAGGCAGGTTCAGGGCCAAAACCTTGAGTAGTGGATATTTTGAGACTCTCCGTTGCGGATTTAGGTCTCCAGGGGTGAGGGGTGGGAAATTTGGGGGACACTCCATCAAAATTCACTTGAAACCCACTAACCGGGTGAAACTACACCCCACAGGCCAGGGGGGAGCAACTTCGGTAGTCCTCGACTTACGACCACAGTTCATCCCCAAACCTGTGTTGTTAAGTGAGACATTGGAGTAACTTTGGACGGTCACTCGAACTGTTGTAAGGGCTCCCTGTATTAACAACTATGCGAATTGTGGACTTCAACTCCCAGAATTCCTGAGCCAGCCAGTGGGATGGGCCACGATGATGATTTCAAGACCTGGGGACTTCAACTCCCAGAATTCCTGGAATTCTAGGAGTTGAAGTCCCCAGGTCTTGAAATCGCCATCGCGGCCCATCCCATCATCATAGCCAGAAATGCAAGATGGCAGCTGGATTTGGGGGACGGATGGACACACACACACACACACACACACACACACACACACACCCTAATTCCTGACTCGCGGCCTGCTTGTCTCGATTCTCGGCAGGATCCACTACCCACTCCCCCTTCCCTACGTCGGGAAGCCCGATCCGGTGGTCCTGCAGAAAGTGATCCGGGAGCTGAAGGAGGAATTGGCTCTCTTGAAGGCTAAGCCAGGCAAGGATTTCCGGGACGTGGAGATCCGTCGTCTTCGGGAGGAGTGAGTGAGAGAGAGAGCGAAAAGGGCGGGCGGGGTGTGTGCAGGAGGTCGATCCGGAGACGGGGCAGGGGGTCTGCGAACTGTCCTCGGAATCCGTGGAGGGTTAGAACGGGAGGCCTGAGGGTCTCTGAGCCCCGAGAGCAATTAAAGGAACACTTAGGCAGTCCTCCATTTGAGACCTACGATTGCTAAGCGAGACAGCTAGGAAATGTGCTTTGCCTCATTTCACGGCCTCGCTTGCCACCGTTGTTAAGTGAATCCCTGCTGTCGTGACGTCAGTAACACGGTTGTTAAGGGAACCCTGGGCCCCTCTCCTAAACCAGGGGTGTCGAACTCTCTTTCTCTCTCTCATTCTCTCTCTCCTTTCTCTTTTTCTCTCTCGTTCTCCCGCTCTTTCTCTCTCTTTCTCACTCTCTCTTTTTCTCCCTTTTTTTCTCTTCGCTTTCTCTCTTTCCCTCTCCTTTTTCTTTCTCTCTCTCTCTCTTTCTCCCTCTTTCTCTCGCTCCCTCTTTCTCTTTCTCCCTCTCTCTCTCTCTCTCTCTTTCTCCCTCTCCTTTTCTCTCTCTCTCTCTCTCTCTTTCTCCCTCTCTCCCTCTTTCTCTCTCTCTCTTTCTCTCTCTCTCTCTCTCTCTTTCTCCCTCTCTCCCTCTTTCTCTCTCTCTCTTTCTCTCCCTCTCTTTCTCTCTCTCCCTCTTTCTCTCTCCTTTCTCTTTCTCTTTCTCTCCCTCTCTCTCTCTCTTTCTCTCTCTCCCTCCCCCTCCCCTTTTGCAGGCTGCAGCGGGCTCTGGAGGAGAAGCAGATGATGGAGTCGGTTCTGCTGAGCTCCCGGGAGGAGCTGCCGGTGGCCCCCAAGGGCAGCGGCTTGAAAGAGGTGAAGATCTTGAAGAAGGTGGTGCAGACCCTGGAAGAGCAGCTGACCAAGGAACGGGCCAAGCACCAGCGCCTGGCCGCCAGGCGCCTGCAGGAGAGCCGGCAGCTGGCTGATGAGGTAGGCAGAAGGCCGCCTGGCCTGGAAGTCCCTGGCGAGGGCCGGCATCCTCCTTCCGCTGGGAGGGCAGGAAGGGTAATGGTCCTCGGCCTACGACCGGTGACTCATTTGGAGCTACGAGGCTCTTTATGACCCAGTTTACAGGTTCTGAAGCCACTGCATCAGGTTGCGGAAAGGACGTGCGGTCCAGTGGTTAAAGCAGCAGGCTGAAAAGTAGGAGGCTGGGAGTTCTAGTCCCACTTTAGTCATGAAAGCCAGTTGGGCGACTTTGGGCTAGCCCAACCCACCTCACAGGGTTGTTGTGGGGAGGAGGAGGAGGAAGGCTGTGTCGGATATATATTTGTAATATATTTCTTTGTAAAGAAATGAAAAGTAAAATCTACCCTCATCAACAAGCAGGGCGTTTGCAGAGAGGGGGCAGTGGCCGCGTGGGGCCAGGAGAGGCTGAAAATATTTGAAGAAAATGTATATTTTTAACAGCTCCTGGCTTTTATTTTAGGAACTTGGTGGAGTTCTTGCAGACGTTCTGTGACCTAATTGAGTAACCTCATCAGTGATCTTCCTCCTTCCCTCCCTCCCTCCTTTTTCCTTCCTTCCTTTCCCACCCTCTTTTTTCCTTCTGCTTCCTTCCATCCTTCCTTACTCCCCTCCCTCTTTCTCTTCCCTCTCTCCCTTCCTCCCCTCCCTCTCTCCGTTTTCCTTCCTTCCTCCTTCTCCTTCCTTCCATCCTTCCTGCCCTCTCTCCATTCTCTTTCCCTCCCTCCCTCCTTTTCCCTTTCTTCCTTTACCACCCTCTTTTTTCCTTCTGCTTCCTTCCTTCTTCTCCTTCCTTCCACCCTTCCGTCATTCCTTACTCCCCTCCCTTTCTCTTCCCTTCCTCCCCTCCCCTCCCCTCCCTTCCTCCTTTTTCCTTCCTTCCCCCCCTTGTTTCCTTCATTCCTCCTTCTCCCTTCCTTCCCTCCCTCCCCCCCTCCTTTTTTCGTCCTTCCTTTCCCCCTTTTTTCCTTCTTCTCCCTTCCTTCTTTCCCTTCCCTCCTCCCCTTGAGCTTGGTGGCTTTCTTGCAGACGTTTCACGACCCAGCTAGGTAACATCATCAGTGCTAATGATGACTAGATGATCAATGCTTGTGTTATCTAGTTTGAATCATGAAACGTCCGCAAGACCCCCTCCCCAAGCTCAGAGACCACCAAGGACCCCTCGTTTTCAGCCCTGAGTTTACAGATATTTCCCTTTGTTGTTGTTTGTGTTGTGATCCCTCTTTCCGATCCCGACAGCTTGCAGAAGTGAAAGCTAGTGAGAGAAGCCTCCGGATTCGTGTGAAGAACCTTACCAATGAGCTGGCTTTATTCAAAAAGGGAAGGCAAGTAGTCCTCGCTTAACGACCGTTTGACGTTACAACATACTCCAAATGTTACTTACAACTCTTCCTCAAAGGTCCTTCTTCTTCCTCCCCATTTTGGCCCCCTGGCAGCCGGTTCACATTTACAGCCGGTTGTCGTATCGCATAAATCAGTGTTTCCCAAAGTGTGGTACGGGTACCCCCGGGGGTACGGGAAGAGTTTGGTGGGGGTACGCGTTGCACCGGAGTTTGGTGGGGATCACCTGGGAATATCCACTGCACCGTGCTTAGCTGATTAGATTGAAATTAACAACCAGGGAACCAAATTATGGTGATCTGTCATCTCAACATAAACAATTTCATCCTTCTCATTGAATCAAATAAATGTTCTTTATAATATAACTTTCGTTTATTTTGCGTATGTACCAAAAAAAGAAAAAAGAAATATATTTTGATTTTTATTAAAGCATATGTTTTTTATGAGGGGTACTCAGCGTTACGAAAATTATAGAAGTTTTGACACATATGTCAAAAGTTTGGGAAACACTGGCGTAAATCATATGATTTATG